GAAGCAAATCACTAGACTACGGTTCTTGAGTGGCTGAAGCAAACTACTAGACTAAGGTTCTTGAGTGGCTTGCAACTAAGATCGAAACAAACCACTAGACTACGGTTTTTGAGTGACTTGCAACTGTGATCGAGCAAATCACTAGACTAAGGTTCTTGAGTGACTTGCAACTGAGATCGAAGCAAACCACTAGACTAAGGTTCTTGAGTGGCTTGCAACTGAGATCGAAGCAAATCACTAGACTACGGTTCTTGAGTGGCTGAAGCAAACTACTAGACTAAGGTTCTTGAGTGGCTTGCAACTGAGATCGAAACAAACCACTAGACTACAGTTTTTGAGTGACTTGCAACTGAGATCGAAGCAGACCACTAGACTAAGGTTCTTGAGTGACTTGCAACTAAGATCGAAGCAAACCACTAGACTAAGGTTCTTGAGTGACTTGCAACTGAGATCGAAGCAAACCACTAGACTAAGGTTCTTGAATGGCTTGCAACTGAGATCGAAGCAAATCACTAGACTAAGGTTTTTGAGTGGCTTGCAACTGAGATCGAAGCAAACTACTAGACTAAGGTTCTGGAGTGGCTTGCAACTGAGATCGAAACAAACCACTAGACTACAGTTTTTGAGTGACTTGCAACTGTGATCGAAGCAAACCACTAGACTACGGTTCTTGAGTGGCTTGCAACTGAGATCGAAGCAAACTACTAGACTAAGGTTCTTGAGTGGCTTGCAACTGAGATCGAAGCAAACCACTAGACTACGGTTCTTGAGTGGCGATGGACTACGGTTACTCTAAAATCTTTTCACTACAGATTTGTGGCTACCCTGATTTACCTTTACTTATTTTTTTTTATAAAAACTAGCCGGCTAAATTTGATTCTTTCACAGGAGGGTTTATATACTGATAGATGGATTTACGATTTTTGGGCTAATGAGATGGCTGAGAAACAATAGGACTTACAAGAGTCAAAGGCTGATGCAAAGGATCGGGTGATTAAAGGTAATAGAGAGAATTTATCTTTAGCGTTCATCAATAAAATTCAGACCATTTCATTCCTCCTTTATTTTGTTCCTCATGTGTAAGCAGAGCAATGTTTAACAATCGCTACTGTCACAACAAAACAAGTGTAACAGTAATAACTAAGTTCTCTTTTAGTGAATAATTTGATCCCTGTTTTCTAACAAACCACATTTAGAGAGCTACTCTTTAATAGGAAGATTCATTACTTTAATTACACAACTACGCATTCATGGTATGACACATAAATATTTTGTATTTTAATTTTAATATACAATTAATTTTATTTTTTTTAGGATAGATATAAGGTCTTATGCATCTAAATTACGCCGTGGTCGTGATCGTGGTCAGGTACCCGATTACAAGCTAAATAATAGAAATGGATCTCGTACGGCTGTATTTGGCGAAGTGACTAGTCCAAAACGTCAAAATTATCCACATTAAGCTTTCTGGGACATCTATCGTGGTGCCACACATGCGAAAGATGACATCGATTATAATATCAACCAACAAGGAATAGAGTTACAGCCACATGAAGCAAAACAAATAGTCGCTTTTATAAATGGCTATAAAATGTCAGTGTGTGTCATGGAATTGGAATATATCTACTGGTTGAAGTGGTCTCTTGTAATATTCCAAAAAATGTTAGAGATCTGGAACAGATTATGATCTTTTACCGAATTTCAATGAGCATCCGGGTTAGTGTTCTTTAATATATCGTTCCTAATTTGTGTAACTATATTCTAATCTAAAACTTATAGCATAATGCTGTGGATATATTTGACGAGAGATTTTGCACAACACCACTTCAAACGAATTATAAAGAGTGGTGTTGGCAGGAAAAATGGTCGGATCGGCTCGGATCACGTGATGGGTCGCGATGCATCAGATTATGCATCATGAAGCTAAAATAGTTTGTGGGGTTTTGCATGACGCGACAGTAGATTTATGGACGCGTCGTAGCTAGTATGAATAGGAGTAGTAGAATAGTTGGTTAGGAGAGATTGAATATTGTATCCGCTATCCATTTGTACTTGCAGCATAATTAATAAACTTGCCTTATTTGTAAATCGAGACCTGCGGCGAAAGATTAGGGAATCGGGCTAATAAAGGAAGGAAGTTTATTAGCAAGTGTCTTTGGTATCGCCAGCGAAAGAGACCCTACTTGCCGGCATAAGGCGGAACAGTAACGAGACCGCCAATCCTGGTAACAGTGGATACGCCCAACTATTAGTCCCCAATAAGCAGATGTAACAACAAAAAGATTGCTTATTAACATTTAAGGTAAAAAGTATAGTATCTTAATTTTCGTTGTGCCCTTTTGCTAATTTTTTTTACTTTGGGAATTTGCAATAGGTTTGAAAATATCATCTTTGCTTTGAGCTTATAATAAACTAGCATAATACAATTTTCGTGTATGTTTGCTCTGTCTCCCCACACCTTTTCGTGAAATTAATATTTCTAAACAATTGATCGTAACAATGAATTGGTTTATAAGTGACTTTATGCATGCCATATTGATTCGGAGACAGTTAGAGTGGCTAACAAATAAAATTTTTTACCCTAATGCATACACAAAAATGGGCTATTATCTATTGTGGTAGATCAATATTTGAAGACAAAAAAAAATCAATTTTTCGCAATTGTATTATTTAGCTTCTTACATCAAACCAGATTTTTTAATGCTATATGCTAATATAAAACGATAACAATGTTTTTATACATTCTTTTATCTTATCAATATTTATATCTTTTACTTTGATAGAAAGATAATATCAAGAAATGTAAAACAGAAAATCTTATTGACTATTTATAGAGGTGGAAATATTTGGACTCAATAATGATGATTTATCAATTCTATGCAAACAAAAAACTTCGGGGGTTTTTTTTTCTAAAAGAAAAGTTTTATAATATTGATTTGATTTTGAAACCAATAATAATATCAGAAAATTTTATTAAGAATTTTAAAAAGCAGAGCATATATAGTTTCTTGTTATATAAAACTCTAGATGAACTGAAAAATGTATTTTACAAATAAAAAATTAATAGTGAAGATATAATTCAATTCAACTTTATTGAACCTGACTATTTTATTATTATTTTATTATTGAATCTTTACTAGATTGCCATCAATTTATTATAGCATTTGTGAAAAAAATGTTTGAATTTAATTATGGAAACAGTAATTATTTTGTTATAAAATTATTACAATTAAGTAGCAACTAAAAATTTTGAATTTTTTGTTAATTTATTATAAGATTACTATAAAATTATAACAATTTAATTATAATTATATATTAATTTATTTGTAAAATTATTTTATAATAATAATTACACAAATACTTTACTGAAAGTGTTTATTTTTTGACTATTCTACCACTGAAACTTTACCAAGTTGCTATAAAACCACCATTAAATAGTTATAATATTTGTAAGAAAATCTTTCCAATTTAATTACAGCAGTAGTAACTATTTTGCTATCAACTCTCTATAATTAAATAGCAATTGAATTCTCTACTAAATCATTATTAAATTATTACAAGATCATAGTGATTTTATTGTAATTATATATTGATTTATTTGCAGAATCATTTTACAATAATTGAACAAACAATATAATCATGATTAAGTAGCAATATAATTGTGAATTTATTGAGGTTAGATATTGATGTAGTTATGAATTTATAGTAATTAAGCTACAATTATGCAGTGATACATTTACAATTTATTATAATTAAATAGTAATGTAATATTGATTGGACAGTAAAATAGTTACTGTTATATACACTACATGGACAAAAGTATTGCACATCTTAAATTTATTATTATATAAAAATGTACATAATAACTTTATTTAAA